ATTGACATTAAAACATATGATAGTCCACTGCTATCAGTGATTGAGTACCTTGATATTTGGCATTTCTTATTAATTTGAATGTATTCTCTATCCATATGTCCTGATAGTAAGTGACAATACTCTGCCAATATGTTTCCATAGTTTTCACATTCATTTTCCAGTCCTTTACATAACATCACAATTTATAATCAACAAAACTCAACTCCTTCATTACTTCACAACACTGACAGCATGACAGACTGACAGTCAACTATTGTGTGGGTGAATGCTGAAACAGGATAGCTACTTTGCTGACTGGCTCGCTCATATGAAATAAGATAAAAATGATCCTTTATATCATTTCCATCTGGAGGATCGGAGTCAACGGAAAAGGAAGGCCACTTTCAAGCCTCAAGGTCTAGGCCACCAGACGCCAGTCGGCAGTCACCACCAAATTTATAATCGATTAATTCATTATTATACTTTGAGACCCTTAGGTCACTGGATCAGCATCACATTTTCAGTTTCAATATAGTAAAGGTTTTTATTTGTATGATGTGAAATATTTTCCTGAATCAGAATTTAATTATCCCTAGGTACCTGGTAGAGGTTTTGGATTTAATGCTCATTGTTGGTGTGCAGTCAGGATTTTTTGACAGGTCCAGATAGGGAATCCTGAGCAATTTTATAGTAAAGTGGTCTCCTTATTATCACCACACCAGTGTCCCAAAATCATATTTTTGCTTGGGTGTCAGAGGGGAAAATTGCTGACCAAAAAAAGGGTGAGAGTGAAAAATTGTCGGTCAGGTAAGGCCCAAAAAGAGTGGGAAAATGATCAAAAACATTAATCTATCTACAATTGTGACAGATGCAAAACAACCATTCACGCAATTGCTCCTTCTTGGTGGAATTGGGAGTGGAAAATTGGGCTTGAAAACTGGAGGTGAGAGTGGAAAATGATTTTCATTTGGATGTCATTTCCCACCCACATCTACAAATTTTGGGACATTGCACCACACATTTTATCAAAAGCATTTGCAGAATTCATTCAATGAAGATTTTATTAATGTTGCACCCATTTCTTAGACGACCTAGGCTGCATCTTTTTTTAGTTCCTGTTGTATGACGGTATTTTCCGTTCCACTGCATAAAGAAAAAAATCGTTTGAGATCACCAAACAGCTTTTCTTTTTCTGGCAGGTCTGCACAACCAAGCGGTCGCTGGCGAGGACGTCGGCCGTCTCTGTGGGTAAGGTCATCTGCTCAGCCTTTGTGGAGATCAGCAAGACGTCACTAAGATGAAGACTTCGCTGGAGCAGAAGCCGCTGACCCGTGTCCGATCGGGCAGGTCATGCTCGACGGCACGAGCCACAACTCGAACGACTCGGTGACATCAACAACATGGTGGAGCAGGTGAATGAGTTTGGCGACGTGTGCGACTGCAAGAAGGGTTGTCTGCGTGTTCTGGCCGGCGGAGCGGCGACGCTGCGCAGTCTGTGCTGGCGGTGAGCAGCTGGCCGTGGTGACCGCGCGCGCCCACATGCGCCGACAACCTGTGCGGCTTCATCGGCCCGGGACAGCCCGATGCCGCCCACTATGCGACGCCGACCGCGCACTGTCCGCACGGCCACATGGAGGTGTGCCCGCGCCTTTTGCCCGCACGCCGCTACCTCGCAGCTGGTCTGCAACCACGCCGTCGCCGCCTGTAGCCCGATAACAAAACGGCTGTCTGATAATGCCGCGTGTTCTTTGTGATGTTGCTACTGTGATCGTTGCTACTGCTGGTCTGAGACTCGATGTTTCCATTCGTCTTTTACATGTTAAGGATTTGATAATGATAAGCTTAGTCCGAGCTTAGGTCGTTTATATCATTTGTTATATGGCATATTTTGGATCAAAGCAGTACGACACTGCCTCCTGCTTTTGTGATGTATGCTGGCAAGACGCAGGTTCCGGTCGCAGGTCACCCGGGCCCGGTTCCAATGTGGTCGGGCTGGCATGCAATAATGTGATGTTGTTTTGCTCGTCTCTGTGTTCCACACTTGATGATGTTTGTGAATCTAACCCACATTGTATAGTATTTTTGTTTGTTTGCGGCCGATGGCCTTGTAAGTTGTAACCGTGGCAATACAGTTTTTCCTGCTATAATTCTCCAATATTCAAGGGTGGGTGCATATCTCTGTATTCACGTATTCCCTTCTCCCAGTACAGTCAGAGAATATCAATTACAGTATTCATACGGATTATTCAAGCCTTATATAATTATTTGAGGTGTGCCGAATCCGAAAGACCGATAAAACTACTAGCGGAAAATGTGACATGATGCCATGGGTTTGTGAAAAGTTTAGGTACCACGTAGCATTCAACTTCCTGCATTTCTGTTTCAACTCAGTTTAACGTATTTCAACGAACATAACATCAAAAATGGCAGCCAGTACCGGCTTCACCTGTCACGGAGAACGCTCAAAAAATTGAGTGTAGATGCTGGCCGGCACTCAATTTTTTGAGCGCCAGCTGACTGTCGTCTGTCGTGGCGCTCAATTTATTGAGTATCGCAGTCCCGAACGACAAGTGGCGCTCAAAAATTTGAGCGTCTTTAGGGCATTTTCTTTCCAAAAACACCGATATAAATTATCACGGCGAGTGTTCGAGAAGAAACCTTGTTGCTCTCTCTTGCCATTGATACCTTATTTGGATACGATATTTGCCGTAGTGTGACGCTAAAGGCATTGTAAAATACCATTGTTTCGCCTATTCCTTCATAATGGGGCCCGCTCAATTTTTTGAGCGCTCAATTTTTTGAGCTTTTCCCCCTTGTGCGTGGGACTGATGTAACCGGTGCCGTAGATCCGTTTGTGGGGAGCTGATGCGCATTAGCGTAGTGCGTATTTGGAACGGATCGCTCATGTAACCCCGGTAATAGAGTTCAGTGGTATAGCTGCAGAGTTTGGTGAGCTAACTTCACAGGTAATGGGATCAAGGGTGACTCTGACTGACATTGTCAAGATAAAGGACCATCCTGATTTGTGCAGGGCAAAAATCCTTGACTTAGACCAGAGAACTATCGTACTTGAAAAGGCAAAGTCACTGAAGGGATCACAGTTTGATCATGTCTATATTCGCAGAGACTTGACTTACAGTCAAAGGCAGGAGCTCAAAGCTAGAAGGGAAAATCAAAATCAAAATCAACACGTCCAGGCAGCCCCAGCGAGTGACCCTCAGACACTTGTAGCTGAGAGCACCAGGGCTAACGTCATTGAAGCCATTCAGGCAACTTCAGCACAGGATAGTGCAGGGACAGTGTCCCAGACCACCCCGGTAAACTAGGAAGCCAGTCTGCCAGCTCACGACACACGGCAGTTAGATGTTGCACTGTTAATTTAAATGGTGTTTGTAATAAACTGGGTTCGCTCATCAATTTTATAAACCAGCATGATTTGAAAGTTGTCTGTGTCACTGAATCTCATCTAACCTCAACTATCAGTAGCTCTTTCATAAATATACCCCATTTTCAACTTTTCCGGAAGGATGTCGTTGGTACGGTTGAGAAACATGGTGTTTGCATTTATGTACATGAGAATTTGTTAGTAGATATAATTTCTACCTCAATGGAAAATGCCCTTCTGTTTAAATTGACCAAATACAATGTGTATTTCCTGTGTGTTTATAGGCCACCATCAAATAGTGTAGCTGAAAACGAAATGCTCTTAGAAGACCTAAAACTCCAGATAAAGAATAGGGAAATTGTGATACTTGGGGATCTAAATCTCCCTAATATTCAGTGGTGCGAAGTTGGGAGTCGACCAGTGGGTTCCGTTCCTCCAATGGAGAGAGCATTTTTGGATGTATTTGAGTCTGCTGGCCTAATGCAATGGGTCTCAGAGCCCACTTTCCCCAGGTCTGGAAATATTCTAGATCTTGTACTGACTACTGAGCATGATAGAATGGGTAATTTAGTTGTCGAAGCTCCCATGCCAGCCTGTGATCATTGTCCCATAGTTTTTGACTATGTGTTCAGTGAAAGTAAAACAGAAGTGTTCTCAGGTCCTGAGAAGTTCGCCTGGCATAAAGGAAATTACACAAGATTGAATGAAGAGCTACGGGTAGTCGATTGGGATCACGAGTTAAGGTATTTGAATGCATCTGACTCATTTGATAAATTTAGGGATATAGTCACTGCTCATGTAGTTGAGAATGTGCCATTGCAAAACAAGAACAATCGCTGTGAACCTCCGTGGCCAACAAAACCGTCTAGAGGATTGCTTAAAGAAAGACATGAAGCTTGGTTGAAATATAAAAAGGTTCGGTCGGTGGTTGGTCGGACGTCCTCTGCGGCTCGTGATGCGTACAGTCAGTTTGCTGGTGTTAATAAGCGAGTGAGAAATTTTAATGTTTCATCTCAGGCGTCGTATGAATATTCTATGATTGAAAGATTTCGGGAATCGCCTAAGTCATTGCACTCCTACATAAGATCAAAGAAAGTAGGAACAATGTCGGTTGGTCCACTTCGGCAAGCGGATGGACATATTTCTTCGGACCCAAAAGTTATGAGCGAATTTCTGGTCTCTTCATTTGCTTCAGTGTTTGTCAAAGAAGTCCCTGTTTCGCAGGAGCCTCACCAGTGCTATGACGGTGAAATTGAAACATTGCGAATTACTGTTGAGGAGGTCCGCACATATCTACGCGCCTTAAACCCGAACTCCGCGATGGGTCCCGACTTCCTCCACCCACTGATCTTGAAAAACTGCTCAGATACCCTAAGTTACCCGATTTATGTGATTTTCACCCGATCGCTCTCGGAAGGTTTAGTTCCAAGCGCCTGGAAGAGATCCACTGTTGTTCCGCTGTTTAAGAAAGGTAGTCGCTATGACCCTCTCAATTATAGGCCAGTGAGTCTCACTGCTGTGTGTTGTAAAACGTTGGAGCGCCTTATTGTGAAGCACATCTACTCGTATTTAGAAGCCAACGAACTTCTGTCTGTTCACCAGTTCGGGTTTAGACAGGGTAGATCCACGATGGAGCAGCTTATTCTTGTATATGAGGATATCTCAGCCAAAGTAGATGCAGGGCAAACAGTGGATCTTGTGCTTTTTGATTATTCAAAGGCTTTCGATGTAGTATGCCACCAAGTTTTGCTTACAAAACTAGAACTCATAGGCATTAAAGGTCAACTTTTATCATGGATCTCTTCTTTTCTCTCTGACCGTCTGATGCAAGTGTGTGTTAATGGACTTAACAGTAGCACCAGAAATGTCTACAGCGGTGTTCCACAAGGCTCCGTGTTGGGACCTTTGTTGTTCTTAATTTATATTAACTTTATAGGTTCTAAACTGTCCTGTTGTTACAAAATATTCGCCGACGATTTAAAATTGTACGCTTCAGTTACTGTTACTGCTAACTCGATGTCGAATCCCCACACTGATGGAGTGTTACAGAATGACATTGATGTGCTGCACAAGACCTCTGTGTCTTGGGGCTTGAGGATGAACAAGGAAAAGTGCGTTGTGTTACGTTTTTCCCGCAAATCTAAAAATCAGACTGTTCCTATGTATACTATGGATGGAACTCCACTTCCTGTGTGCCGTTCACAACGCGATTTAGGTGTATTAGTTGATGTCTCGTTAAAGTTCCATGATCATATTGCTTCTGTGGCTCATAAGGCTTCTGGATTGTCTTATAATTTTGCTAAATCTACGGTATGTCGTTCTCGAGACTTTATGCTGTTTTTGCTTAAGACGCACATAAGACCTATACTGGAGTACGCTTCCTGTGTGTGGTGTACAGGCTTCATTGACGACATGCGTAGGCTTGAAGGCGTTCAGCGCAGATGGACAAAGCAGATAGAAGGCCTTGAGAATCTGACCTACTTGGAGAGGCTGAAGGAACTGGACCTATTCTCAGTGCAAGGGCGCCTTCTTCGTGCTGATCTCATTGAATACTGGAAAATTTTCCATGGGAAGAGTTCAATTGCCCCCGGGAATATGTTCGTTCAGCCTCTACATCGGGGAACGCGTGGACATAGTTTAAAGATTCATGTGTCGCGCACTCTATCTGACCTGCGTCAGCGCTCTTTCTCGCAACGTAGAGTCACTGTGTGGAACAGCCTGCCAGATGATGTCGTGACTTCAGTAGATGTATCCACATTCAAACGGCTGCTGGCCAGAGCGTTAGGCGATCTGCTATATGATTATGTTTAGTTACACCTACTAGAACTGATAATGCTATTGTGATATAAATGTAAACACTCCGTATTGATGCATTATTCCTGTATTACACACTGAGGACACACATTTCCAGTTTTGGAGTTGTGTAGTTGTATTTACCGTCTTGTTCATCTTGAAAACTGGCGTGTCCCTTTGTACACGGGTTTCCTTCTACCTCATCCCTTGCCTGACCTGAGCTGCGAGGTGGAGGAAACCCCACCAGGTAAGAATACCAGGTAAGCACCCTATTTTACACCCTTTGCTTTCTGTTTACACGTGTTACAGGTGCTTTTTTACCAGGGTATATTGAGTTTCTTTACGACATTTGGTTCACACGCCTGGGGATCACACCAATTTCACGCCAACTACTAAGGAAAACTTGCTTGTCGGTATCAGCCAAGGCTATATAAACCGTATCAGCATATCAGGTGTTTCTAACATTTGTATTTCAATTTGTGATTTGTGAATGGTTATTCTAATTTTGTCAATTTTAGATGTTGTGGTGTTGCTGTATCATTACTACTAGATATGTCATGTTCATTTTTATTTTATATCACATTCTATACAATGTCTTAGTGCTACTTGTATGATAAGGCCTGATGCATAAGCACTAGGCTGTGTAAACCATAAGCTTTTTGTCTTTCAGATCTTGGGCACTACATCTAACTCGAAATGGCAGGGGATGGAGCTCAAGCAAATATAATGGTGAGTTCTCCCCTGTGTGGTAAGCAACAAAGCATTTTGCAATGGGTGATGTGGATGGTACCCCAGGTATATGCTGTAGTGTGTAAGATTATTCAATATGGGCAAAATTCCGTTTCTTTGGCCTATCACTATTTGTTTCTGACTGTTGGCAGATCGGCATTATCGGCGGCTCTGGGTTCTCTGACCCTAGCGCGCTAGGAGTGGAGGACGCCAAGGACGTGGAGTATGACACGCCATTCGGGAAGCCTTCCAGTCCTCTGCTGACAGGCATGCTGTGTGGTGTACCTGTGGCCGTCCTGGCCAGGTGGGTGCTGGCACACATAAATGGATACCTATCCAATAGGCATTTGTTGATGATGGCAACATTGTGCATAAGGCAGTTGTCACAACAATGTATGGGTGCCACTCACTGCCAGGTGGTATTGCACAGCATTCACAGTACTTTTTTGTGGTTGGTGTTTTGTCTATTTGTGGTTGAAGAGGTAGCATGATTTGCCGATCAACTACTTTTCATGCATATTACTCAGCTCTCGCTCTCCTGTGACGGTCCACTGCGCCCCCCAGACACGGCCGGCGCCACACGATCCTGCCGAGCGCCGTCAACTACCGTGCCAACGTGTACGCCCTGCGCCGGCACGGCTGCACGCACGTGCTGGTCTCCACCGCGTGCGGCTCGCTGCGAGAGGAGTACCGTCCCGGCCAGCTGGTGCTGCTCGATCAGTTTATTGATAGGTCAGTCAGACAGACAGGCTGAATTCGAGAGGAGAAACACCTACATCGATAGATCAGATTCATCAGCGTATTCCCAGCTACACTCATCGCCCGCTGTTTTAGTGCCTACCTTCTAATCGGTGACCAAACGACCCGGTGCCCCTGCCAGGACGACCAAGCGTCCGCTGACGTTCTTTGACGGCTCGTGTGACGAGTTTGTCGGCATCTGCCACCTGCCGATGGCCGACCCGTTCTGTGGAGAGACCGGCGGCGTGCTGCGAGAGGCCGCCAAGGAGCTCGGCATCACCATGCACGATAAGGGTGAGCCGACCGCGCCGGCTCTCGTGGTCTTGGCCGTGGGATATTTTATCTAGATGTGAATCTCCATCGGTTATAAATATGACACCAATTTACCGGGTGACTCATGAACTGCACTGTTTTCTTCTACCAGGCACCAGCCATATACACTGATGCGTTTGGCAGAGAACCTGGTGTAATTCCTCGCCTTCGCTTTTTAGTTACCAGTGTACTGAAAGTAAATGTTTTTATTTGTGCTATTTTCAGCGAATGAAGAATGTATTGCGTCATTTTCTGATTAGCGTCTGTTTGTTCGTTTCTGCTCCCTGCACTGCCGTTCCTCCCTCCGTGTTGACCACTGACACCCTCTCACTCTCGTCCCGTCCCGTTCCGGCAGGCACCATAGTCACTATCGAGGGCTCCCGCTTCTCCACCCGCGCCGAGAGCCACATGTTCCGCAGCTGGGGCTGTGACGTCATCAACATGACCACCGTGCCGGAGGTGAGGTGCCCAATCCAACATTCACCAAGTCGGGAACATCATATAACATTTACTCCGTTTTTTTTTTCGCCTATTCGAGCACTGCGTCTTTCAATAATATCGAACCAGATTTCTAAAAAAAAAAACAAGTGTGACTTCCCTGCTGGTTAAATCTCTCTAAACCCAAATTCTCTAGTGAACCTCCATGCATGTATCCATGGCTTTAATTGGCTGTGTTTTGCGGTCGGACGTTAATACGACCTGCGCACGTGTCCCTAACATCTCCGCCCTGCTGTCCTACAGGTAAGATTAGCCAAGGAGGCCGGTCTATGCTACGGCTACCTGATATCCCTGCCCTCCCACAGGTGACCCTGGCCAAGGAGGCGGGTCTGTGTTACGGTACCCTGACATCCCCGCCGTCCCACAGGTAACCCTGGCCAAGGAGGCGGGCCTGTGTTACGGTACCCATGCCCTGTCCCACAGGTGACCCTGGCCAAGGAGGCGGGTCTGTGTTACGGTACCCATGCCCTGTCCCACAGGTGACCCTGGCCAAGGAGGCCGGCCTGTATTACGGTACCCTAACAGTTAACACCTCCGTCCTGTCATACAGGTAACCTTGGCCAAGGAGGCGGGTCTCTGTTACGCTGCCGTGGCCATGTGTACCGACTACGACTGCTGGAGGGAGGGCGAGGCCGGGGTCGGGGTCGGAGACGTGATGGCCACCTTCAGGGCCAACGTGTCCAGCGTGGTGCGTCTCTTCAAGGAGGCCGTGACCCGCGTGGCCGCCAGGGACTGGGCGGAGACGCTGCAGAAAAATCAGGTGGGTGTGGGGAACGGAAACTTGGAGCGTGTTTACATATATCGTCATTCGTCATTGAGTCGATGTTATCTTGTGTTCGGCTGTTGGCTTTGATGCTCTGTTGCACCATTTCGATGTTACGGTAGCTAGTCATAATAACCTCGATATAATTGTATCGATGTAATTATGAGTATGACCGGTGACCAGTGACCATCCGTAGCTGAGCTGAAAGTGTGCGGCGATTGCGGTCTTTATGAAGACTGCCCACTGACCGTCCGTTGTCCATTCCGCAGGAGACGGTCACTTCCAACGTGATGCTGCCCAGCTGAGTAGTGGAGCTGGGCCCAACCTGAACGGTCCCTGGCCGCAGCTGAGCGCTCAGTGACCTCGGCTGACCTCTCAGTGACCCCAGCTGTCCGCCGTCCCTGATACCTGACCTCTGGCTCATATCCGGCGGACTCGGTCGGCGGGACTGCGGCTGCCGATGTAGACGGGATAGATGACTCAGTGCTAGCGGCATTTGGCTGTGTTGGTACAGCCTTATTGGACGGGTTGCTATTTTACAGAGCTTTCGTAAAAATTTGGGTGGTATTGCCTAGTTGCGCGCTTATAAGCATTGGTACCTATGGAAGATTCATTCAGTCCAGTTTGTGACTTTGTGCTAATCGAGCGTAGTCTTTTTTCGGGTGATTATTTGCCGAATTGTATCATTGTGAAAGGAGAATCTCCATGTGAAGAGAAATATTGTTTTTGATTCCATTCCAGAACTTTGTTATTGTTACGCATACTCTTTCTACATGGAATATTTTGATACATTGCCGCTCGTGTAATATTTTTGGTGATTCAATATCACAACAGCATTCGCCATTACAAAGCTGTGCATTGTAAAACGTGTGTGAGGATCGCTTTTTGTTCAAATCTTTTCGCAGTGCTGTGGGAATAAACCTGCTTGCATTGAGATGGTTTCTTGCAGCGCTCTGCCTGTGTTATGCTTTTCTGGTTTTGCAGTGAGCTGCAGCGGAGATTCGGCGAAATAATGTCATTATGTAATCCGTTATGTCATTTCTCCCAATATTGTCTATGTGGCTGTGATAGGTCGTCGCCCGCCGGTACTTGGTACGGAGCTCTCCGTGAAACGGACGCCCGAAGTGTCGCGGCCTTGGCCACGTGGCCTTTCATAGGTGCTACTTTGCACAGTGCTGCTTTACTCAGTACTCTGCGTGACGCGAGCTACCGGCGTCGATGCTGCCCTTCATTTTCTCTTTAGGGGCTGGTATAGTGGTACACCTCGGCAGTCTAAATCGAGTCCTCAGCAATAAGATGATACCTGGCCTGGCCCTCTGTAATGAATGAGCTACCGCTATGGCTATTGATAGCCTGTGAGCTACCAGCAATGCCCTGTGCTATAGCTCATCGTATTCACACAGCCGTATGAGCCGTAGCAGGCGTGTACCCGGTATCAGGTATGGCTTTGATTTTGCCGGCCTGTCAGTTTTTTTCGGAACATATCTCATATGTTAGCTATAGGAAAAGGGGCATATCTTTCATTTGCAATATGCTATTCCAAAAAGCAATCCAAAATTCATGCAAAATTATCATAAAGGGGTATGTTTTGTAGAACGGCACTAAATCCTTCAACAAGTTAAAAATTCCTTCACGCTCATCTACCATCAAATGTGCTACCAAATTCACGCCTAGCTGCCGAGTTTCGCACTATCACGGATCACCTAACGGATCGGCAACTCTCCCCGCTTCCCATTGTTATCGGTGTACCCGCGGAGCGGGCTGCCATCTAGCGGCGCGGATATCTTCACTAAGGAGGGGAGCCGGCCGCCCGCCGCAACCAGTGTTAAAAGGCACGGGGAAACGGGTGTGAACGCAACACCCGTCCGTCGTTTACATCCTCAGGATGTTCAGATCAAGTTCAAATCCTTCTCCTCCACGCAGCAACTCTCGATCCGGACTGGACAGGCAACTTTATCTCATGCGGGCTGCTCCCTTGAAGCGCACCACTGCTCCCTAGGGAGCACACCCGTAGCCGGGTGCAGAGAGTGCTTGGGGGGCTGGTCGTCCTGTCCATTGGGACGGGCTCAGCCCCGGTGACTCTCTAGGGTGCCTGTCCATACCAATGTTTCCCCCAATTCCTATAATCCTTCCGGCTCTGCAATGGTCTCAATGGACCGAAAGGGCCTAACCCAACAAAACAAAAACAATCAAAGGTTGTGAACGGATTAAATTACAGAGTCTCTCTAACAGCTGGAATGTTACCATAACATGGAAATGTTACATACTTTATTCCCTAATCAGCTGGAGCATGCATAATGATACAAATGTTTCTAGTCATGCTTGAGTTGTATGAGCAAGAAGCACGTCCTCGCAACTTTAACGTCGTTTTTGGCCGTACACGAAGCCACCTTTCCTCATCCGTCTGCCCATAGTACGAGTTCATCCTCTGTTCCTATCTCGATGGTCACAGGCTACCAGTTGGAGTAGATAACATCGGAGCAAATCCAACGAGCTGGCCATTAACGTGACTATAGGTGGATCTCGGCCCCTGTTTCACGATACGACCCTCCCCGCCGCTACAAGGTATTGACACTTAGCCGGTTTCCATTAAGACGTTGGCAACATTGTGAAGTTTGCTTACGTTTCCATAGGAACGGAGGCACCCATACCTGATGATGCTAGGTACTGGGTAACAGCGTGCTGCTAAACAGTGCTCGTATAGCTTTGGCCCCGAGGCTGGTTTAGCCACGTGTTACATCAGACATCTCAAAATATCTGTGGCTTAGAGCCAGGTCAGGTCATTTTGCACCCTATATATTGCCGCATACTCAATACTCTCTCTCTCTATATGCATAATAATATGTGTAATACCAATAATAATTCAATAAGAGCAAATTGAAAGGCGTCTCATTTGGTCTGGGCGGGTCATCCTTAACACCCTCAAACATCGGGTTACATGTATGTAAACAGTGGAATAAAAACGTTCACCAGCAGTTTTTTACTATAACTTTTGATAGAGACGTGCTAGAGCGATGAAAACACGTCAGATGTGTTCAGCTCGACGATACGGATCGACTGATATGCAGAATGACCCTTTCCGGTCAGGTCATGACCTTCACCTGACGTAAGATTTTCAAAATGACCTTTCAAGGTCAACCTATAGTTCATTCGACGCGTCTCGACGAGAGGAACACGATGCTGGCAAAAGTAATGTCGTGGCTCGTTTGAGTCAAAAGATATTACCGAAAAAAACGTTTTTCGTAAACACGGCTATTTTTGGAGATTTTGCTCTCTGGACGCTAAACCGTTGACCTGAGGTTAAATCTGTGAATAAAACTCAGAAGGACCTGTGAAAGAGCTATCGAATGCGCTTTTCCGCGCCTCTGTAGTTCTGTTGGTTCCCAAGTTATGCGTCGGATGTTTCGAAAATTGTTGAAATAGACAAAATTTGCCTTTAATGACCTCTGGTGACCCGACCTTTGATCTGACCTAAAAAAATGACCGAAGTATTTCCGCCATTATTTTTACGCCCTTTGGAATGCCGCTTACCCCGTGTGGCTACGTAGCCCAGAAGCCGAGTTAGGAGGGGGCGGGGGTTTCATACACCCTCGGCCCGGCGCGGTTGGTACCGTGTACCGGCCCGGCGTGGGTTTATACTTTATGCAAGTAGGATATTTGTGAAAGTTATAGATTTAATTTAATCGGCAGATGAATATTTATCAAAAATGTACTCATGAAATATATGTAAGAGATGACAGCGATCGGAAAATTACCAATTTAGCGATGGACGCTAGGTCGCCCACGTGGGTATGAAAACAACGATTTTCATGACAAAGGATACGATCTCAAATACTTAACCTGTCTCTAACGATTCTTGCCATTCTCATTTATACCATAGGTATCTTCTGAGCTAGCTGAGAAACCATGTTCCGCAGAAAAATCACTTAATTAGCTCCGACACGACGCCCTCAACACGCACGAGGCCGGCCGCTTCCTTAGTGAAGATAGTTCACCTAAATGCCCACCAGGTGGCAGGGGAGACAGATCGCGGGGGGGAGTGGGGGAGTTGCCGATCCGTTATGTGATCCGTGGCACTATCTTCCTCTTTTTTTGTACCAAATTCATTCAAAAGGCACCTAAATGGCGCTGCGGTCCAGGTCGGACAGCATATTTACGTCTGGACAACGAGTTGCGTTGGAGAGGCCGGAAATAGTGGCGATTTCAGGACCGCAAAAATGGACCGTCATTGGAATGATTCTTTTTTAAACCGTGCACTGTTTTCGGCCGGAATTTAATAGTTACTACAAAATATTTTTTAATTACGTTTCCACCAAGAATGAATGCCATCAGGACTAAATTTTTACTACTAATGCATTTTATCAAGAAGCATATAGTGCTGTTATATTGCAGTTTTAGCGCGTTTGTTACAAAATATTAAGCGAATAAGCGTCAGTGTAATTATTCATCAGTTCAGTTCATCAGTGCCAGAAGTTAACTTGAGGGGGGGGGGGGCTATGCTAATTGCTCTTGTCCATCCACTAAAATTTATTAAATATTTTGCTTTGTGTATTCCAAAAGGTGACGGAACTATTTCATTTGTGCCTTCATGTCAGAATTGAAGGTGGATCATTAAATTTTCAACGCAGTTTACAAACAAGCATTTCAATTTGGTCTTTCTCGTATATACATAAGCAGTGGCTAAGAAAAGGTTGATCAATCCTGAAGTTCAGTCATCGTACCTCAACTTGGCAGCAAGATCCCCAAGGACAGAGGATGTATTGTACCTATACTGATACATGTCCTGTAAATCAAAACAAACAAGCATTTGGTCTTTCTTGTGTATAAGCAGTGGCTAAGAAAAGGTTGATCAATCCTGAAGTCCAGTCATTGTACCTCAACTTGGCAGCAAGATCCCCCAAGGACAGAGGATATATTGTATACCTGTCCTGTTAATCAAAACATTTTTGTGCCTGCAAATGAATATAACTGTGACCCTGTGCTTGTTTTTATACTTACTATGGTCAAACAGGGAACAGCACATGCACATAACATACTCACCTAGCATCTAACTCATAGCTGTACCCTGCAGGATCTGTACTTGTCTCGAGCATTAACAAAGCGCCAAAGTAGCTTAGTAATCATTTCCCACATTTTCTGAGCAGTAACATGACATACAGCAGTGCAGAGCAGCTTCAGAGAAGAAACACTTTAAATGCACAGACTAACACCAGCCACCCAATGAGCCAGTTCCTCAGTTGACTGTTTCCCTGGATGCAGCTTGGCAATGTGAGCTAACTTTTGGCAAGTTGAAGGTTAGCAGGTAAGATTGAGTTAGGGTGAGTACCTACCTATAACTGGGTGCTACTGCTATGCAGGTCTTGGGTAGGCTGCAAATATGTGTGATGATTGAGGTTAGGTCAGCTGTCAGGTTAGTCAGGTATGCTCATTGCTCAGGTCACATTTTTATGGACACTTGGCGAATTAAAAAACTAACAATCTAATCTAAGCTAACCCGACTAAGCATACACAACTACTGACTATGGGAACTAAGCACCTACCTACTTGTGCCTACATCTCATACCATGTCAAAGTAGAGTTCCTTGGTGGAAGATTACCCTCAGTACTTTTTATCCCAGCCCTGTGAAGAAAACTAATACCTCTAAGCTCTGAGTCACTGCTGGCCATCCACAGGAAGAAACACTGAGACTGAGAGCTTTGCCATTGTATATTGGACCAATAATCACTATCACGAATGACTATGAACACATTATATGATCATATCGTTGCATGGATTGTCACATTGACAATTTTACTACAATCCTTTTTTCGAGAAATACAGTGATGATTAACATCAAAATCAACATAAAGTGGATTTAGTGATCCAAGCTTTCTCCTCCAGTAGCAATGGAATGATCGCATGTTTCATTTGCCAGACACTGAGTAGGTACCTGATGCACATTACAATCTGCATAGCATCTAAGCATAGTAAAACTGCCCAAGTCCATTCACTGTAGATTTTTAACTTGATAGTTTGCACTAATTTATCTTGCTGTTGTAAGTTATTATTCAATATTCATACCAATACATCAATATGCGCTCATCAGTCAACATTTTCTGGCATGATCCTGCTCAGCGTGCTCTTCAGTATTGCTCCAAGGTCTGCAATATTATAGCTTGTTTTTGGCCAATAAGCTCTTTTAATTTTACTTTTTCTTGCTGACATATGAGCCCGATCAACTTGTGTTTATCAACCAAAATTTCATAACTTCAAGTTCAACTTGATATTGATATTGTTCAGGAGTCAGGACCTCTGTCAGCTTCCTGGATACTTCGGATTGTTTTCAGTCACATGCTTCTTAAATATGATGTAAGTCAATCTTAAAGGATTCAAAACATCCAACAAAACGACGTACAAGAGTACGGAAACAACCAGATAAACTTAAAAAGCGCCTTGGAACAGAGCCAAGTGGTGCTCCATTTGTTTGTTTACAATGATTGTAGTGCTGATGTATTTTTAGGACTCTGAATGTCGGCTTATAAAAAATGAAACGTTTTTACAAAAGTTGTAAGGTGATTAATATTTATCTGAAAGAACTAAAATATTCAAAAGCCAAACACTATGAAATACGTGAATCGGAACGAAAAAGTAACCCCAAAGTCCAGCCTAATCACCGGCTCCTAAAACTGCAACAGAATCAGCACTTTTCCCCGCAACTCGTTGTCCAGACGTAAATATGCGGTCGGACAGCGGTCTGTGTCGTAGTGTATTTCACTTGGGGGATTTTCTACCATACATCTGCCTGAGCTTAGGGTAATTACAATTTGTCGGCGACGTTAAAAAATGATGCACTTTTTTCGCAGTATAGGATATCGCATGTGCAATTTCTGCCTTTTTGGGTGCGCTTTATCGGTTTTTCGTGAGTAACTCGCGTAAAAACCGTCCGATCGCGACGAAACTTTCTATGCCCCCGATTTTATCAATTTTACACCTACCCTGAAAATTTAATGACCCTGACCCAAATGACCTTTGACCTGTGACATATTTCTCGAGACCATGTTTGGCCCGAATCGCGATTCGGCGTATGTCGGCTCGCATTAGCCGCGCGGTTGCAGTCTTCACGTGGCTTCAGGCGTTGAAACATTGTGATTTGATGCTGGTCCCATGCATTAGGGTGGGTGTCAAGGTCACCGGAAGGTCAGGTCAGCTCAATGACCTTTGATGACCTCGGTTCCTTTTTTCGAGTTTTACATGTTTTTAGGCTAGTTTTTGGAGCTGATTTAGAATTTAGCAACCATTTGAACATTACAAGGGGTGTAACAAAATTATCCGGACACCTTTCTTTCCGCTGTAATTAAAAAGCAAAACAATCTGGTACTTTTTCTTTTAACTGAGCTTGTAGCCACCTTTCATAAAAACACAGTGGTGAATGTTCTGGAGCATTTCAGCCAATGAATTCTCCAGCACACTGGCTTTGATGCAGACCAATGCCGTCTAAACCTGTGCCTGCGGTTGAGCAGTGCTTATGGCGGGTGGCTCTTCATATACCTCCTGCTGAACAAGAACCCACAGGTTTTCGATTGAATTGGGATCGCGACTTTTTCCAAGTCATAAGCGTTAGCCCAGAATGATTGAAGGTTCTATCGGCATCACTTCCCGTTCTTTTAGGGACTTCAAGTAGCGCGCCGCCCCGCATGAAGACAGCGTGGCTTGAATCAGGCATCAGTGCGCGTTCAGAAATCGTTCAGGCATCTATGCCGTCTGGTTGAGCGCCTCCAATCATGCTCCACCACCTTCCCTGGAAAAGCTCCACCCTGGCCTATGGGGCAAAATATAAGGGACAAAAACACAAAACAAGACAGATAAAAACAAAGCAAAATTAACTCATTACCTAATGAAATTCAGGCTGGAGCAAATACATACATAGGTAATAGGTATCTATGTCAAATTAGAATGAAAGATTAAAATCAACCTGACCAGGCCTTACGGTCTGACCTGGTCCCAACCACCTTACTTCGCCTAACTTAACCCAATTCAACCTTAGCCTACCACAACACCTGCAGAGGTACCTTCCTGGAAAAATGACGCCCAGGGAGGTGACTGTCCAACTTATTGGAATACTACCATGATTGCTTGTCAAAATGTGTGTCATCATGCTCTTGTTTGACAAGTGATGTATAATAAATGTGATATTCAATAATTATCTCCTGACTGTTGACTGTTGAGTGGTCAAAATATTCAAATAATTAGGGTACAATGCTGTGCATAGTGCACACTAATCATGTTGTTTTTGTGTAGGCCCTCTGCACATTGTTGTGTGCACTGCTAGCTATTGCAGGATCAGTGAGGGTTGTAGACATGCTACATACATTGTGCAATTTGAAGATATTGGCACAAAGTTCATCTGTAATTACTATGCTTAACACCTAATGTAAGAAGCGACATAAATGCCCACATGATAAAACTCTCTGGTCAACATCACACAAATTTATTGACATACTTTGCAGGTACATGTTTACATTCATGGCAAATACTTTCAATTTGATTCAGAAACTAGTTGCTAGTAAGCTTGCATTTTTGTAGGTACAACAACGACCATATATTAAGTGGTCATAAAAAACCTTCTCATAGCATTCATCACATACCTTTTTACCAAACAAGTACCTTATAGCTACCATGCAATGATTCTTAATTTTTCGCAATCCATCTATATCTCAACTGACACAATGAATTTGAAATACCCTAACAAAGCCTATAACTGTACATAAGAAGAATGCAATACTACAAGAACTATGAATTTCTGAAGTTATTCTCACATGCTGGAATGTTGAAACTCTACTTTTGTCGTCCATTTCCACGTTTGATTGAGCCATCATATCAAACTGTTTTCGTTCTTCAGTCACAAGCTTTCGCACAAATCTTGAATTTTAATGCATCATCTTGAATCATGCTCCAGTCTTTCCAACAAGGTACTATGTAACATCAAAACAATTTTGATTTGCTACAACAGCTTCAGATCATGATAGACTTGAGGTTTGTTACACCATTTGCCAGACAAATATCTACAAAATGTGTATCAATTTCCAAACTAAGTAGTTGATCATATCAGTATTTGCAGTTTCCACAAAATGTTTCATAATACTATTCTATGTTTATATAAAGAAACTCAAATAATCCACAAATTGTTATTGAAACACTCCCACTTTGACTTCAAGAGTTCACAGCAATAACAATACAAAGAAGCAAACAAACATTGCGCCAGATTTCGTATGAAACGCGCCATCGTCCTGAAGTTTCTACCACAGACCAGGGTATCCACAGACGGTAGTTCAACCGCAGCCGTAGTGCAAAAACCCCTGCCCATCTTACCCCACGGCGGAGCTCGGTTGCAATTTGTAAATACGCGTCGTGCTCGGATCAGTGTTGCCGTCCTGGTACTATAGTACCAGATCTGGTACTTTTTCGACCTTTCTGGTACGGAGGTACGCCTGAACGAAATCTGGTACTTTTTCGCCGAAATGCATTTTTTGGCATTTCAATATTTCTTTAAATTAAATCTAAGTAAAAAGAAAACACAATTCTTTTAGTCAGGAGGGATGGTGTTTCTAACTTTCTCATCATAATGTGTCATGCATCGGATTCGGAATTAGTGATACCTATTCCTGTGATAGTAGAAGTTAACAAGTGGAAAATTCGCGCGCCACGCCGGCTGCCAAGGACGGTCCGCCGGCTGCAGGCTGAGGCAGTTGTGTCCAAGGCAATATAAGAGGTTGTGTCGTGAGTTCGGAATTCACTGGGCCCAAATAGGTATAGGTATAGGTATATAGATAATGGACTTGGGGTAGCAGTATGCTATTTGTTGTCCATGTCATTGTTGGCAAGGAAACATGTCAGGGTACTCATTGAGGTTGGAGGTCACAGGTCACAGTTGGCTTTGAGCTGGAGGTGCTTATCTAGCTTAGCTTTAAATGTAGCAGTGGTGTCAGCAGACACAACATCATCTGGTAGCTTGTTCCAGTCATTAGCCACCCTCTGTGAGAAGAACCTTTGTCTGGCTTGATGGACTGACTGCTCCTTGTGTAATTTCATATGGTGACCTCTTGTGTTTGTCGTCCTCAGTTTGAAAAACTTCTCTCTCCTCACATTGAGCTTCCCTGACATGATTTTATACGTCTCAATCAAGTCGCCTCTTTTTATCCTGTCTTTAATAGATACGGTCTTCAGGACTTTTAGTCTTTCTTGGTATGGCCTGTGCTTTAACCCCCTCACCAATCTTGTAGCTCTGCGCTGGATGTTTTCGAGGAGACTGATATCTTGAACAGCTTGGGGACCCACAGCTTGTATACAGTAGTCCAGGTGTGGTCTCACATATGAGTTGAAGAGGCTGGTGAAGTTTGTTGCTGTGATTTGGTCAAAGGACCTCTTTATCATTCGGAGAGCTACCATTGCTTTGCTCGCAGCTCTTTGACAGTGACTAGTAGGTCGAAGGTCGTTTGTTATAGTCACCCCCAGGTCTCGCTCCTTATCTGTGACTTCTAGTTTGACTCCTCTAATACTGTAAGATCTTTTTGGGTTTTGTGGTCCACAGTGCATCACTTTACACTTTTGGGGGTTGAATTCAAGAAGCCATTGTTCAGTCCATTGCGAGAGTCTATCTAGGTCTGCCTGAAGTTGTTCTGAGTCCTCTGAATTTCTGACCTTGCGATAAATCTTCATGTCATCTGCAAACAGTTTTGCGTCGCACTGGACCAATGTGGGCAATTCGTTGACATATATCACAAACAGGATGGGTCCCAATACTGAGCCCTGCGGAACTCCGCTGGTCACAGCCTCTTCTCTAGATTCTTGGTCATGAACTACTACCTTCTGAGTCCTGTCCTGAAGAAAGTTTGTGATCCATTGAAGCACTCCTGCTTTGACACCATAGGCAGCCAGCTTCTTAACAAGTCTTCGGTGGGGCACAGAATCAAAGGCCTTTTTAAAGTCACAATAGATGATGTCCAGTCCACTGCTGCTGTCCAGTATGTGTGTCCAATCCTCCAGAGCCTCTAGAAGATTGGTCAAACATGATTTTCTGGGTACAAAGCCATGCTGTTCTTTGCAGATGAGATCTTTCTCTAATAGATGGTTGAGCAGGTGCCTTTTGATAATTCTTTCCATGACCTTACATGCGTGACTAGTCAGACTCACAGGCCTGTAGTTACTTGCCAGTTTTTTGGAGCCTCCCTTGAAGAGTGGTACCACTGCTGCTCTCTTCCAAGCTGTTGGTAGCTGTCCGCTTGTCATGGACTTTTGGAATATCTGCATGAGTGGGTATGCTAGCTCAGGTGCACAGTTTTTCAAGAGAAAGGGGGAAACATCATCCGGTCCTGATGCCTTGTCTTCAGTCAACGTTTGAAGTTCATGGAGTACTTCCTGAAAAGTAATGTTAATATCCTCGAGTGATTCTCCTTCTTCCACCTGACTTTCAAAAGCTGGCAAAACACCGCCTTGTTCTTTTACAAAAACTGAGCAAAAGAATGTTTGTAGTTCATCTGCAATCTCTTTCTTTGTTGCTATCACAGTGCCATCAGGTTTGACTAGTTCCATCACTTTGTCTCTTGTTTTGCTTTGCAGTCTTACATATTTGGCTATCTTCTTTGGCATTATCTTAGCTGACCTTGCCAGCTCTTCCTCATACAACCTTCTTGTCTGCCGGATGTGACTCGTGGTCTCGTTTCTGATCCTGGTAAACTTCTTCAGATTCTCTGCTGTTTGTTCTTTTCTGTACTGCTTGTAGGCTTTATATTTACGCTTCACTTGCTTATCTAGTGCTTTATTCCACCACGGTGGTGACAGTTTTGTTTTTCTTCTGCCTTTGAATAGAGGAACATACTTCTTTCTGCAATCGTGTAACTTATCAACAAAGAATGTCCATGCTGCTTCAACATCCATGTTTTCTATCACATCCCACTGCACCTGTGCTAGCTCATGACGGATAGAATCATAGTTACCAGCTCTGTAATTGTATCTGAGTTGTTCCTTGGCCTCCCTGTTTTCAGAGTGTATTCTGTAGTCCCATATTATCACACAGTGATCACTTTTTCCTATTGGAGCTTCATATTTGACTTCCTCAACATTGTTTTCCTGATTAGTGAGGATGAGGTCCAGGGTAGAGGGGGCTGTACCTGCTCTGTGCCTGGTGCTGGATTTCACATGCTGGGTTAAGTAACAGTCTTGTACTATGTTGTAAAACTGAGTGGCATCAGAGTTTGGTGGTCCTGAAATTGCACCAGTGTCCCAATCAATTTCTCTGTAATTAAAGTCTCCCATAACCAGGTAGTCTGTAGCACTAATTGTTTTCATTTTCTCTAGCAACTTCAGCAGTTCTTGATTATTTTCCCGATCACTGTTTGGTGGTCTGTAGCAGATGCCCACCACTATTGTGTTCCCAGGCCTTGTGTGAATTCTACACCATGCTGCTTCTTCAAAGTTTGAATTGTTCAAAATATCACACTCGCTGACCCTTAAATGATCTGCCACAAGAAGTAGAACACCTCCACCTTTACAACCATCAGGTCGGGACTTACTGGCTGCTACTTGATAGCCTTGAATGTGAATCTCATCCTTCTGCCACACTTCTGTCAGTCCTATAATGTCTGGCTTATGAATGTCCACCCTGTTCACAAACTCTTCCATCTTGTTTCCTAAGCTATTGACATTAGAGTAGAAGCATGACAAAACTTTGTTGAGAGTCACACTACTGTTCTCTTGGGACCACCTTGTTCTGAAAGATCCTGTGTGTCTCCTTGCCTTTTCTTTTGAGTTCGTCCCTCAGTTCTTTTTGCTTTGATCTTTCTTCTGGCGACAGATCCTTGGTGATGTACCTGTTCTTGAACCCTACATCTGTTAGTCTGAACCTCTTTTTGTACAGGTCCTCTAGTTGCTCTTTGTCTTTAAGTTTCACCAAAAGCAATCTCGGTTTGTCGGATGAAGTGTCTCTTCTGCCAAGACGGACCACGTCTAGCAAATCTATATGAGTGTCGTTGCCTCGCAGGGCCCTAGACATCTCTTGGATCCTTTCCTTGTCATATTCCTTCCTTACCTCTGTCTCGCTTGACTCTGACTCTGGCAGGTTGTGAATGATCAGGTTCATGTCCCTTTTCTCGTTGCTCGTTTGAACAGCTTTCTTTATCGTGTCCGAGCTCTGTAGGATAACCTTTTTCTGTTCGCTTAGTTTTTCTACTACTTTCTTCTCCATTTCATTTATTTTTTTCTCGATCCCTTTCTCTACAGTTTTCTCATCCTTGTCTTTGCCAATTGCTTCTATGACATTCTTTTCTACCTGCTCTACTCTAGAGATCACTTGTTGCAGTGAAACCGAGACCTTGAATTTCATTCTGCATGTTTCGCACACCCAGAAGAGGTCGTGTAGGTCGATGGCTTTAAAAGCCTCAACACTTAGGCCCTGACAGCTCGGGTGGAACCAGTCATTACAGCCTTCGCATTCTATAGAATCTTGTTTCTTCCCGATAGTTTTGCCACATGGTTTCCCAGTACTTCCTCTGCACTGGAATGCCTTACCTTTCTTTGATTTCTTTTTGCTTTGCACAGTCACAAACCCCTCCTCAGCACTTTCATTCCCGCCACTTTCATGTTCGCTTTCCTGGCCTTGAGACAATTGTGACGCAGGGGTCTCACGCGATGCAAGACCCTTTACCATTTTATGTCAGTTTCAAAAATGTTCTGACACTTGAAAACTTGCATGAACAAATTTCAATGCTAAGCTAGGCCTCCAAAAGTGGGAATAAAAGGAAAAAGCAGTTATTAAATGATCTAAGCGTAGGAGCAGTTCAGGAGCTGGCAGGAGCTAGTGAAACATCTGATGCAAAAAAAATGCAAAAATGCAACGATTTGTGCTGGCTCGTAAGCTGAGATGCCATGCCAATAACCAATAGTTGGGAATTGTAGTTGTATTATTGTAAACAGTGAAATGTGATCGTTCCGTCGACGGTCGAAGGGCTAAGGAAAGAGGCTAGTTTGAATCAGTGTCCCAAAATTGTGCGATTTCGTTGGAAAACTAAATAACAATCAAACATATAATTTTCCATTCTCACTGGCATTTGGCATACTGTGGCAATTTTCGGATTCTGGATGCAAGCTAGGATCCTGGGTGCAATCGCCAGTCTCAACTGCAGTGCCCCCTCTCGAAGGCAGGATTTCGATTTCTCTATTTTTTGGCCAATTTTAAGTAGGTATACAATTCGGGAGCTTTCAGAAGAGCGCATTTCTGCCTTTCAAGGGGAGACGCAGGGAGACGAATGGGTCAAACTACTGGGTCAAATGAGTCATAAATTACTCGCTGGCATGAACAAACCAAAATTTTGGCTATTTTTAAAGTAATGAATTAATAACAATTTGACCTACTACGATCTGGTACGGTACGCAGCCAGAAACAGCCAATCTGGTACGATTTGGATGCGATCCTGGTACGCTGTAAAATCTGGCCGCGGCAACACTGGCTCGGATTCTTTTTGCTTAGATTTTAATTGTTTTATGTCCACAGTAACTACAAAGACATTACATATCAAATTTGTAATAGGCTTTCATGATTTAGTACAATTGAACTCAATTTTGGATAAGCTTTTTGCAAATTTGACGGACATTCTATTCATCAGCATTCAGCCTCCGCCCAACCTCCGCCTGTTGAGCTTGAGCTAAAGCTCATTCTGAGGCTGCCTTGCTTGCATTTTTCTTTTCAGTACTTTTACATTTTACACTGGTAATGTGATAGAATGACTAATGGTAAATCTTGTTTTTGGTCATTTCCATAGCCCATGACAATGATTTTCTGACATGACCAGCGTCCGCTGTCCCGAAATTATATTTCAGCTTCAACTTGGACCGATGTTTCTCACCCAAATCTATAAATGTTGGGATTCAACTTGACTCAGAAGTCAGACTTGATTGGTTCAAAACAGAGCTCTGTTCGGTTGCTGTTTTTTAATCAGCATGCTGTCTGTTTTTTCCATATCAGTAGGCGGAAGTATGGTCAAGCGTGCCCATATTTGGGAACGCATTTTCGTTCCCATGTTTGGGAATGATAAACCTAAAAGCTTCAGCAGTGGGAAAGGCCTTCCGCACTTTGGGTCTGATACGACGCACTTTCCTGACCCTAGACGAAATCACACTGCCACTACTTTTCAAGGCGATGGTTAGACCGATACTGGAATATGGAAACTGTGTGTGGGGTCCTGTCTACTGCGGTGACCAAGACAAGGTTGAGAGAGTTCAGAGGCGGGCCACAAAAATGGTAGCATCAGTCAGGCATCTAGCATACAAGGAGCGGCTGGAGAAACTGAAGCTACCAAGCATGCACTACAGAAGAGAAAGAGGGAACATGATCATGGTGTATCAGATTCTAACAGGAGGAATTAGGATCGACCACACCCAGATCTTTCAGAGGGCTCCACCAGACGCCACCACAAGAGGACACTCACTTAAGCTGATTAAACCATCGGCAAATCGCGCGCAGAGGCAGAACGCGTTCTCGCACAGAGTTGTGAACAAGTGGTGTCTGAAAATGAACCCAAAGAAATGTGCAGTTCTCCGCTTTGCGAGGCCCCGCGCTAACTTGCCTTCACCGGTGTACTTCCTTGATGGACAGCAAATCCCACATGTAGATTCTCACTCTGATCTTGGTGTTACTGTCGACTCGCAGCTTAAATTTCACGAGCACATTAGGACTGTTGCACACAAGGCTAGCGGTCTGGCCCATAGTTTTCTTAAGTCTACCGTTTGCAGGTCTCGCGCATTTATGTTGTTCTTGCTCACTACTCATATCCGACCTGTTATAGAATACTGTTCATGCTTGTGGCATACAGGTTATCTGAAAGACTTGCGGGTCTTAGAAAATGTTCAGAGGAAGTGGACAAAGCGAGTGGATGGAATGAATGGATTAAGCTATGCAGATCGCCTACAGTCCTTGAACCTGTATTCTGTCCAAGGGAGGCTCATTCGTGCGGACTTGATACAATGTTGGAAGCTGTTTAACGGTAGATCGTGCCTGAGTCCAGATGACCTGTTCGACCGCCCTCCACAGGAGCGGACTAGGGGCCACTGCTTTAGGATTTTCCCCACTCTCACCCACACAGACACTAGAAAGCGCTTTTTCTCTGTCAGATGCATTGCTGTTTGGAACTCACTGCCTGAGGATGCTGTCCGTGCACCTAACATAGCTAGCTTTAAGAAAATGATTGAGGTACATGCACGTAATAGCCTGTTCAGATATGATTGAGGATGAGCAGTGCTGATTTTGTAAGTAGTTATAGGTATGTAGGTTACTTCCTCGTAGCTAAGCGTGTAGAAATGTGACTGTATTCATCTGACGAGCTTGTGGAAGACGCACAATACCAGTCAAAACTCCCAGGACTAATGGTCAAGAATATCACAACTGGGCTGGCGCGTCTGGCATTCAGGGTTCCTTCCAATTCCTTTCGGTCCTTCCACCTTGCCTTTTCTTTCCGACACAAATGGGAACCCAACCAGGTAAGAGACCAGGTAAGAGTGGAACAGTCTCCCTGAAGAAGTAGTAAATGCCAGGACAGTCAACAGATTCAAAAATGCTCTAGACAAACACTGGAAGAACTTGCTGTACCAAACCAGAACCGACTAAACTACAAGCCAATGAGCAGGAAATCCACAGGCTTCCTTTTCCTAGCCTATCACCTTTCCTGTAATTCAGTAAGTAAGTAAGTAAGTAAGTAAATATGGGAACGCCATGTAGGCATTGTTTAAAACAAGAAGAAGAACTGTTAAATGACGTCCAAAAAATATAAAACGATCGTGAACCGCCTGATATTTGTCTCAATATTGTTGGGAAAGAGTTTGATATTGTAAGGCCCATCGTATCTTCAAATCGTTCCTGTTTTTCTAAAGCAGTCCACCACCCGGGCCGCGAGCCCAAATTTGGGAACGCTCTCGTACACTGGTGCTGCAAGCGTTCCTTATTATAGGAACGGCATACCCAAAATTGGGAACGATTTCACCGACGCCTTTCACAGGCTCTTTTCATTAACAAGCATCACATCCAACGCCGCAAGTTATTGTTAACGCAACAATCTAAGATGACCTTTCCGGCAAGACCGCCGCATGTTTCGCATAATTAGAATTGAATGGACTGTAGGTTGAGGTAGTTGAATAGTTGAGATGTGCAGTAAACTATTAGTCTAATATTTTCATTAAGAAGGTCAGTACCTAGTTACTTACTTGTATCATGAATCATGACTTATTTACCTACAGGCATCCATTTACATATACTTTCAATTTCAGGTGAATATGTGTGTCTATTTTGAAGCTTGACATATTTTTAGTTGTTTGCACTTTCTTCCACTTCAAAAATTAAAATGGTCTTCCTTGAATTTGATGATGAGGTAAGTCAAACCTTCCAAAACTGTTACTTTAAATCATTTGTAAAATCAATGATATTATTTATGTGCCTGAGTTCTGCAACTGTTAGTGATTGTCAATCACTAACAGTGGCAGCACTCAATGTTTGTAGCATGCTGAGCTCTGTCTTACACTATTCACGTTTGTCAAAAAGCAGTGTTACTTATTGGTTATTAGCAGCTGTGTTTCTGGATAATCACAGGTTTAAATTGGTTTGTGCATCTGTACTTTTAGTTGCCCTAAGCACAACATCATTGACTCAAACACCCTCACTGCCTCCCCAGCCGGAGCTTATGCAGAGTGTGTTCCGCGGCGACCTGGGGGAGGTCCTGCAGGTCCTGCTCGATGGTGGGGACGCCAACTATCAGGTGAGACAGATGGCTGTACCAAGATATGCCAGCTGGGTGGCATACCTGTCAGCCAGCTAGGGAACTGGTGTACCTAATGGAATGATATTGGGAAGAGATTGAGTGCAGAGCAGAACAAAGTTAATGGATGTGACACTGAAAACCAGCATCCTCACCACCCACTTGCTTAACTCACAGACTCATTAGGCTGTCATCTCTGTATATGTTAGCCTCCCCTCTCACTCAGAACTAGGGCCAAGTTCCCCTGCAGCAACGACATTACCAACCCCTCTCATCTAACAGTGTCCCTGTCCTCTCCAGGACGCGGAGCAGCGCACCCCGCTGCACGCGGCCGCGTTCTGCGGGCACGCTGAGATTGCCGAGGCGCTCCTTCTGAACGGGGCGCGCGTCAACGCCAAGGACAGCAAGTGGGCCACCCCGCTGCACTGGGCCTGCCTCCAGGGACAGTCGGTCAGTGTTGGATTGTCGGAGACACTGCTTCGGTTGCTTGACAGTTTTCTCAGTTGGAGACGCCACTCCATGACTGTCTTCTGTAACAAATTATGGTTGTCAATCGATTCTGTCAATTATTTCATCGTCGTCATTTAAATGAGGGAGCGTTTGGACGCTCCTTCGGATCTTTTGCATCAGTGTCCCAAAATTGAGTTTTGTCTGGGGTGTCAGAGGGGAAAATTACCCACCAAAAAGAGGGGAGAGAGTGGAAAACTGCTGATTCGATTAGATCCAAAAAGAGTGAGAAACGGCATAAAACATGCATTTTATTCTAGGGTGTAGAATGTTTGATGCTAAACTGGGCATCCACACAACTGCTCTTTCTATAGGTAAAAAATCTAGGTTTTCTTGGCTGAGAGTGGAAAATTGTTCCTAAAAATTGGTGGTGAGAGTGGAAAATGAATTTCAATTGGATGTCGTTTCCCACCCAAATCAACAAATTTTGGGACATTGTTTTGCATTCTCTGAAGATTATACAGGCTCTGGGTCGTTGTTTGGTGTCGTTTGCCGGACTGGATGACGTTTTTTTTTCTTCTAGTCTCTGGTATGTGGAGTTGTCACTTGTCAGCATATTCTCTCCAAACACCGTCGCAGTGTGTCGGGCTGATCAGACGACTGTCTGTGCAGCCTGTACTGGTCGGTCTACGTAATGTTACTACACACAGACATCTGTGACAGGTAGCTGTGTGTGTGGTCCGCCGTGAGCCGCCGATCTGACTCCCCCCGTCTCGACCTCGGCAGGGGGCGGCTCTGATGCTGCTGCAGCACGAGAGCGACATCACGGTGCGCGACAAGCTGTGGCAGACGCCGCTGCACAAGTGCGCCATCTCGGGCGCCGTGGAGATTGCCGAGCTGCTGGCCGACCTGCTGAGTACCGTCAGCACCACGGACCGCGCCGGCTGGACGCCGCTCCACCACGCCGCCTACCACGGACGGGTCGAGGTCAGTAACCCACCTAGGCACCTACCCACCCACCCCACCTCGCCTGCTGGACGCTGCTCCACCACGCCGCCTACCACGGGCGGGTCGAGGTCAGTAGCCCACCTAGGCACCTACCCACCCACCCCACCTCGCCTGCTGGACGCTGCTCCACCACGCCGCCTACCACGGGCGGGTCGAGGTCAGTAGCCCACCTAGGCACCTAGGCACCTACCCACCCACCCACCCACCCACCCCACCGCGCCGGCTGGATGCCGCTCCACCACGCCGCCTACCACGGGCGGGTCGAGGTCAGTAGCCCACCTAGGCACCCACCCACCCACCCCACCGCTCCACCACGCCGCCTACCACGGGCGGGTCGAGGTCAGTAACCCACCTAGGCACCTCACCTAGGCACCTACCCACCCACCCACCCACCGCGCCGACTGGACGCCGCTCCACCACGCCGCCTACCACGGGCGGGTCGAGGTCAGTAACCCACCTAGGCACCTACCCACCCACCCACCCACCCCGCCGCGCCGGCTGGACGCCGCTCCACCACGCCGCCTACCACGGGCGGGTCGAGGTTGGTAAAGGGCTCTCGCAATCACCGTCGGTACTGGGGAAATGGGACTCAATGTACGCTTCGAGGTCGGTACTCTCCGACGTGGTTTAGGGAGGTTGAGGGAGATTGTGGCGCGGGGACAGTGACTCACGCCCCTTATCCTCTCTGCCGTCAAGCCGCGTGCCTCCCCTTACCCACCTCTTAGCCGTCGAGGCTACCTCATGCCTCGTCTCTGACCGTATGTAGTAACAATGTACGGCGCACGACCATGCCTGCCTCACTGTGTGCCGACCCTGACCCGCCTCCGTCTCGCCTCCTCCCCGCCTCCTCCCCGCCTCCGTCCCGCCTCTGCCCCGCCTCCTCCCCGCCTCCGCCCCGCCTCTGACCCGTCTCCCCGCCCACAGATGGTGCAGCTTCTGCTGGATCGCGGCGCGGCCGTGAACGCGCACGACAAGCGCGGCCGGCGCGCGCTCCACCTGGCCGCCAGCCAGGACCGCGAGCGGGTCGTCAGACTGCTGCTCGACCGCAACGCGGACGTCAACGTCGGAGATAAAAAGGTCCGACTGCCGGAGACGGTGTCGTGCTTGGAGAGACGTGTGTCATGCTGGGAGAGACGTGGGTAATTTCAGAGCCCAGAAACGACAGCAGCGGAACTGAAGTGACAGTTTAGACAATGATACGAACTGATGTTTCGGTCGCTTTGATTTGATGTTCATAAAGCATCGACATTGATAGAGGCTAAAAGGAGGCTGAAATACTTACATAACGTGCAAAAACACAAAAATACTGAAGTGACTTGGACAATCATTTTTCGGTTGGGAAGCCACTGTGAAATTGCTGTTCAGTCAGATTCCTTGTTTCGATATTGCGACGCTCTCTGCTGAGCTTATTCAGACTGGGCCTGCATCACAACCTGCTTGTCAATGTATCATTACTCATACCGATTGTATGTAGCTCTGTGTGCTGCCACTTCTCTGACCGCCGTCCTGTGTCCGTCCGTGTTCAGATGTGCACCCCGCTGCACTGTGCGGCGGCCGCCGGCCACGGCTCCTCCCTGGACCTGCTGCTGGCGGCGCCCGGCGTGGACACGGAGGCGGCCTGCGCGTCCGGCGGCACCCCGCTCCACACGGCGGCCGTACACGGACAGCTGGATACTCTGCGGTGTCTGCTGGCGGCCGGCGCCAACGTGCAGGCCACCGACCGCCGCGGACAGGTGAGGGAGGGAGGGAGGACCGGCGGGGGCTGGTGAGGGGGAGAGGGAGGGAGGGAGGGAGGGAGGCGGGGACAGGTGAGGGAGGTCCACCGACCGCCGGGGACAGGTGAGAGGAGGGAGGCGGGGACAGGTGAGGGAGGTCCACCGACCGCCGGGGACAGGTGAGGGGGAGAGCATAGATGGAGGGGGAGGGAGGGAGGCGGGGACAGGTGAGGGAGGGAGGGAGGCGGGAGGTGGGGGTAGGTCAGAGGGGAGAGGGAGGGAGGGACAGGGGAGAGAGGAGGAAGGACAGAGAGAAATGGACAGACCACCGACTGGAGGTCATATGTTAGGGAGGATAGGGATCAGGTTATCGACTGAGTGGAACAAGCTCGACGGGAGACGAACATGGTCAGAGTCTCGGCTGACCTGGTGACCCGATTTCCCGCTCTGTGACCTGCCGCTCCCCTGTATCCGCTGCCTGCTGTCCGGGTGACCTGACCTGCCCCTCCGCCCTTCGCTGCGCCTCAGACGGCACTGCACCTGGCCGCTGCCACCACCCGTTGTCTGGACTGCGTGAAGCTGCTGCTGAGCCGCGGCGCCGACCCCCGCTCGGCCGCCGCGCCGGCCGGACTGACACCGCTGCACATGACGGCCATGCACGGCCGGTTCCAGCGGGCCCGGCTGCTGCTCAACAGAGGTGGGTCCGCCCAGAGGGACCGTTGGAAGTAGTGCAGCGTTGTGGTGGGAGAGATTCTCTCTCCAGAGGCGGTTATCGGTCTGAGGAAAGCGGAGGGCGATATCGTACGTAAGGCGTCTAAGACCTTAAGGGAAAATTGTATGGAATCATGATCCATAGGTCGCCGTCTGTTTTCCATTGGTGTGCTTTCTGCTTAGTCATTTTTCGATGACATAGCGTCAAACTGCTAACCACTTTGCAAGGGCTGTTACACAGTGCCCATTTTTATTCATGCTCGGCAAACAATGCTCAGCTTGCATTCATGCTCAATTAGTGATTTCTGTGTAGCTTTCTTCCCATCGCTCCCCTTTCACGTTGGACTGCCGATTTCTACCTCCCCGCTCGCCACCAGGTGCCGAGGTGGACGCTCTGGACGCCCGCAGCTGCTCCCCGCTCCACCTGGCCGCCGCCTGCGGGCACGACGTCCTCGTGAAGACGCTGTTCCAGCACGGTGCCGACGTCAACAGAGCCGGACCGGACGGTAAGTGGCAGTTCTAAGGACGCCGAACGGCGGCTTCAGCTCGGCCGAGCGAATGGCGCGTCTTAAGTGTAGATCTATCAGTTCATGCGATCGTCGGGGAAATTAACATTGCTGTGACCGCTTCAGTCCGTTAGAAGATCAGCTATGAAACCTTGTATGAAACCTTGCTTGTAGTTATGACTGCTTCTGCATGAATATATGTTGTGGAACCACTGTCCACCTCCCTCCGTCAGGTATGACCCCGCTGCACCTGGGCGCACTAAACGGGTTCACCGCCTGCGTGAAACAGCTGCTGGAGCTCGGCGTGGACATCCGGGCCACCGACAGCCTGGGACGCACAGCACTCCACCTCTCCGCGCACAAAGGGTATGTACCGAGTGCTGCATGAGACACGGGCCAGACCGGCGATATTCTCAGTGTGTTCATGGGGTAGTCGGCCCATATTCAGAGCCTCCCATTCTGATAAGTATTGTCTTACCCTTTTCCGCGCTTCTTCCATATTCGTTTTGCTGATCGCCTCCCGTCAATGGTTGGGTTTGATCTAGGCGGTAATTTGGACCTGGCTAAATGAGAGCCTTCTTCTGGTACTTGTTTTTGTCAGCTACCTAAATTGCTAGCTTACAAGCACCGTTTCCGGCTGCATTCCTTTTTACCAATCCCGCATTTCCGGTGATTTGGGCGAGTTCCCACCAGTGCTGTCACCGGCGGACCCGGGGACCTCTCTGTACGGCCGGCCGGTCGCGGAACTTTGCCCGCCCGCGGGGCCCGGGTGGCGCCGAGGACAGGCAGTTCCGGGTCGGTCCAGCCACCCGCTGTGAGCCGCCGGACTGGACTGGCGCCCCCCGGGGGTACGAAACCATCGAAAGGTGCCGGGCGACGACAAACTTGGTGATGGAGAGGGCGGCCCGCTGGACATTAGGACCGGGAATGGGGACTCTTTGCCGCGGCACGATCCCGAAACCAACTCAAACGGTTTGTACCCAGCGGCGGCCGGCTCACGAACGGGCGCCGAGCTACTCATGGGGTAACCTTGGATATAGGTTGTCAGCAGCTGTCACACTACCACACCTCGGCTCCCCCGTGGGTAGTTCCCGGGCATGAGCGGTGACCTCTGGTAGCGCTGAACGCCCGCCTGATTGGTGCTGTCAGCGGCCTGGCTGCGCTGTCAGCACGGTGAGTGTGACGGACGGCCCGTGACGGTGCTGCTCCACTGCCAGTAACGGCCGTATATGACCCGCGGCCTCCCTGGCCGACCGTGCCGCTACTCCGAACCACGCTGCGCCATGAATACATACTCCGCGGAGTTGTGAGGTAGAGTAGCTGACGAAGCGCCGTACGATTGCGCTGTGGGTATTTCTAGAGTTCGGCTCGGTGTGTGTAGGGGGGGGGGGGCGGACGGGCCAGGGCATGACACACTGATGGATTTTAGGTGTTTGGGTTCGGTCCCAAAAATGTAAATTGTTTAGGCTACCCAGGTAGTGAAATGTTTGTGCGCTTGTGTTTTGCTTGAGCACAGTGTCTGGTGTTGTTGGGCGTTTGTTCACAAGCGGATGCTCCGCTTGATGCTTCCTTCGAGTTAAAAATGATATTTGTGTTCTCTGAAGCATAATGGATGGTTGTTGCGACCTCTGGAGTAAAATAGGTGAACTTTGCGATCTAGTAGGTAAATTAGATTAATCTGTTCTGTTCCGTATGTTGCGGACTGTCAGGTAAAAGTGTATGATAGGTACGGGCTCTGAGGTAAAACAGACAATTGTCGCGGTCCGTGACACCATCAGGATGTGACCGCCCTCCGGTCCCAGGGCGCTCCGCGCGACCGGCCGCCGCGCGGCACCTGGCCACTCCGCCGGCGGCTGCCCGATTTATGGTCACTGCCAATCCGGAACGGATATTGGCCGCCGGCCTATTGCGGCCGGGGGACCCGGCGACCGAGCTGGCGACGTACCGCGGGCCGATATACCATAATACGGCGGCCGGTCACACCGCACACAGGTAGCAGTGGTGGCCCCCTGAACGGTCGCGTGATGAAACTGGATTAGATGGCTGTCAAATTACGTTATGATATAGACCGTGGCCTCTTGTGAATTAGTCACAGGAAGAAATGGGAGGTCATCAAACGTCGTGTGCTGCAGGGATCCGATGGCGGCGCCGACTGCCCACTGCCGCTCTCACCAGGCCGTATCTACCTAATTTCGAGTGAGATGCAGTGTGTGCCTTTTCTGTGTGACTGTTTGCTGTGACCGAGTGTTATCCCTACCCGACCTTCCCTTTCTAGTCCCGGTGTAGTCATATTCTGTAGCAGCCCAGTGTTGAACGCATCGCTAGCGATCCTCGATGGTAGTTGCAGGCTGCAGCCGACCACCTTCTGTCGCCCTGCTTTCACAGATAATATGTTTTCTGGTACGAAAATCAACACAGTTTGCCTCAGAATGTCTATGTGATCGGTTTACACATGTTGTCTTAGGCAGGTGATTAGTAACATGTTTCCCGCAACCTTTTACAATGGTCGCACTTCCAGACTGCACGGTTCCCAGATGCACTCCTCTTTGTCTATTTTTGTCATAGCCTTTGCCTGTTACGAACCACAAGCCAAAGCCAGCGACTTGAACTGGAACCGGGCGCTAAATAAACATCTGCCTTTTCGCTAGGTGTGGTCTATGTATAATTTATGCTCCTACCCACCCCACCCATATTTGAACGACCTTTCCTATTTGGTTTGATGTGCTTAGCGATTTCACTCCGCACGAGTCTAGCTAGAGGCTGCATCTTCTGGCCATGGTTTTCATCGCTGTTTTGTGATGTGCCCTTACACTGTTCTTTCAGTTAAGTTCCGCACAATGAAGCGTGTTTGATGGATGGCTATGGCTAACATTAACGCGTTCTCACGTACGGTTGGTGTTTTACCCATGTTGCTGCCTGACTGGCCTTGTGACAGCTATAAGTAGTGTGCCAAAATGGAAGGTTATCTTAAATTGTAGACATAGAATGCTGTTTTGATCATGAATTGCACCTGCCTATCATACAACATGAGAAACTGACGCTCCGGTTCGTTTCAAGCGTACCGTTTTCTTACAATTGCTTTCCAATTTTGTATCACGCGATAACCAAGTAACACAATTCGGTGCATTCTAACTCCGTTATTGGACTTCTTTTTTCCTTGCCTTGCCTTTTCTTTGTCTGATGCGGAAAGTTATAGTCTGCCTTCAACCCTGTTTATATGGAAATTGTCGTGAAGTTCCTCATGGTTGGGTTTTTAGTTTTATTTTCATCCCGACTCCGAATCTATGCATTGCTTTCGTGTTATCCGAGCAGTTTGACCATATTTCGTTGGTTTCGAGCCGAATTAAACCCGATCGCAAGTCGCAACTGATATCGATTTGCATAAGATTAAAGATAATTACCTGTTTTGTTTCATTACCTTACCCTCGATTTTTTTATGCTCTAAAAGCAGCGGCATTTCTGTGAGAACTGGGCTGTTTACTAACACGCAGTCAACACGCAGCTTTGAACACTGAGCCTATTGATGTCATTTACCAATCGACGGACTTGTTTGCTTTTAACCACAGACCCTCTTCATGCCGCATCCTGTTTCATTATCTGTGTGTTTATGCCTTTTTTATAACTCCTGCTTTAATCACCATTCATGTGTAGTGAACACTGAATGGGTGCCATATACTGAATGGGACTTGAGACCGGGTAATCGGGAATGCCGAAGAGGGACGGTAGCGCTGTTTAGGGGAGGGCTCCTGTCCCGACTCCGCTGACTGGTACTGCTGCCTGGGTAGCTCCAGCGGTGCTGCCGGCTGCTGCTCGGACGCTGTATGTACGACCTGGGGTAGCGTCTCAGTCGTACTTCGCCCGGACTGATGAGGAGACTCCGCTATGCTTCGTCGGATTATCCGACGTCGGATTATCCGACGGAGCATAGCGACCGTTCACAGTGCATGTTGTTTATCCTCTATGTATAGCTCATTGTGTAGCTCGTTGTGTGCGCCGCCCTCTAGTTTTTTTTTTTGTGTGTGTGTTATGTATCCTTTACACACCCGCATTTCTCTGCCTCAGTTTGTGGTGTGTTTATACAAATGTTTGTGTTGTCTGACTGTGTATGTTCCCGTCCCCCAGGAACCAGGACAGCACGAGCCTTCTGCTGGCTCGGGGAGCCGACCTCAGTGCCGCCGATAAACAGGGCCGTCTGCCGCTGCACTACGCGGCCGCGCGCGCCAACTATGAGGTCAGTCGCAGTCCCACAGTCAGTCACAGTCCGACAGTCGGTCAGTCAGTCAGTCAGTCAGTCAGTCAGTCAGTCAGTCAGTCAGTCAGTCAGTCAGTCAGTCAGTCAGTCAGTCAGTCAGTCAGTCAGTCAGTCAGTCAGTCAGTCAGTCAGTCAGTCAGTCAGTCAGTCAGTCAGTCAGTCAGTCAGTCAGTCAGTCAGTCAGTCAGTCAGTCAGTCAGTCAGTCAGTCAGTCAGTCAGTCAGTCAGTCAGTCAGTCAGTCAGTCAGTCACAGTCCGGCAGTCAGAGTACGACTTAAAACGTCCGTCTGTCGGACAATAGCTAGATCGGCCTGTCCTACTGTCTGTTCTGCTGTAATATCTGTCTCTGTATGTTTGTATGTGCTTCTCTGTTGGTGACGTTAACCGACTGCCTCACCTCCAGGTGGCTGTGACGCTGGTGGTGGCCGGTGCCGACGTCTCGTGTACAGACAGCCACGGCCGGACGCCGCTCTACTGCGCCGCGGCCGCCGACGCCGACGGAAGGTCCGTGTCCGCCGGCCGGGGTCTGGGGCTGGGTCTGTCTCAAAAGCGAAGGTGTACATAGGTCCGCCTGCTATAATCTGGATTCGGGTCCGCCTCTCGGGGTCAGTGTGGACACGGGCTCCTAGTCTGTTCAAGGTCAGGATCTTCCCCATGGTCAGGTTCTGCCTCCTGGAATATGGGTCTGGTGACCAGGGTCTGGGACCATGTTCGCCATCCACAACCAGGGTCAGGCTTATTGATGGATGGGTCGTCCTAGGTCAGGGTCTGGCCTTTGGGTCTGAGCCCAATGTGTCTGGGGCTATGCCCTCCATCCTTTGCCAGGGTCAGGGACTACATAATCATCCACAGCCAGGGTCAAGGTTATGGATGTGTCCTCCGGGGGCAGGCTGGAACCTAGAAGGTGTGATGGTATGTTGTGATGACATTCACGGGCCCATCCACGTCTCTGGCTCATTGTGTGAGCACCGCACGCATCGGAGGCCATTCAACACTGAGCGCGCATTGTGAATGGTAATGCCGCGCCCAGTGCTGTGTTTTCATACGAGGGGGTGGTCTTTGATGTTTAGTAGCTCTCTTTACTAAATTTGACTGTGACTCTCACACAGTCAGTGAGGTTATTTAGATGAGCAGAGAGCTGCAACTGTAACTTAAACTGGCTCTGTGACTGTGTCTGTGACCGTGTGACTGTCACAGGACGGCGCAACTGCTGCTTTGTGTTTGTGACATTGTGACTGTAACTGTGTGCCTAGGACGGTGCAGCTGCTGCTCTGTGTTTGTGACTATGTGACTGTGACTGTGACTCTGTGACTGTGTTACCTGTCACAGGACGGTGCAGCTACTACTGTATCGGCTGTGACTGTGTTTGTGACTGTGTTACCTGTCTCAGGACGGTACAGCTGCTGCTGCAGCGCGGCACCGACCCGCTCCAGCCCGACTCGGAGGGACGCTCCCCTCTCCATCTGGCGGCCGCCGCCGGCCACCGCGCCGCGCTGGACCTTCTGCTCGACTCGCGCGGTGTGTGCTCCGTGCTGGGGCCGCCGGCCGGCGAGGAGCGCTGCCCGCCGGCGGCGCCCAGTCCCCTGCATCTGGCTGTGAGTACCGCACCTCCGTCTACACATGCATACAGACACACACCTGACGGGGACCCATCCTACCGGGCTGGACAGCTCGTGTGGCTGTCCGCACTCTCGGGGTTTCTCCCTTGTCAAGTGTCCGCGGTGTAGCCACCGTTGCCCTCCGTCATTATACTATCACCACTGATCGCAACCCCTCGGCGTGTCCGCAGGCGTTCCACGGCCACCAGGCCAACCTGATGAACCTCATGGCCGTGATGGATAACGTCAACCTGCTGGAGGGACGCGGACGGACGGCGCTGCACCTGGCGGCGGCGCGCGGCAACCTGCCCTGCCTGCTGTCGCTGCTGGAACAGAAGGTAAGGACCGGGGATAGTTGCCCTGCCTGCTGTCACTGCTGGAACAAAAGGTTAGGAGGACCCGCGGCAACGTGTGCCTGCTGTCACTACTGGAACAAAAAGTAAAATCCGAGGTGCCCGATGGTGCGTAGTTTTTAATCCGCCCCTACGCCTGTTTGCTGAAAAAGAACTAAGCTCATAGCGTTCCGTGTTCGGTCTTACTGTGCTAGCTCTAAATTTGTCCTTATTGCTATCTATCTCCAAACCAAGACCACAGATCCTGAAAACAAATAATCCATGCATTGTCTGATACAGTCTAATGCAGCTCACAATAGACACCGACGCATCTTATGGTCTCTGGTGGCCGCATGATCAGACGGAATGCATTCCTGGTCGCCTATATCAGCTCAGTCGGCACGGTCCCCGACACGGTACGTATGCTATGATAGTCTGGAACGTCAGGTATCTTACCCAGCCGGAGCTCGGTACATACAGCTTTGCTGTGGTAATCGGGAACGGTACCTTCCCGTACCGGAGCTCGGCGAAACAGGTGCAATGCTCGACCGTCTATTGTCAGTTGGACCGTCTATTGTCTGTTGGGCCGTCCATTATCAGTTCGCCAAGTATGCGGAACACCGATTCAGTACGACAACCGTGTGCCTCTTTGACTGGTGCGGCTCTGTCTCGGTCATCCGTGTGTCGCTGTCCGTGGTCGTATTGAGCGCTGCTGAGCGCTGACTCGTTGCGCCGGTACTGACAGATGCACTGAACAGGGTGATGTGCAGAGTGCGCCCTGTCGGCCGATTAACCGCTATAGACTAGCCGGTCATCGGATGGACAGCGTGCGTCACTGAACATTACTTAGTGACGGGGCGGTATGATATTGGTTTTTGTTTTAAACTGTCCCTTCAAGTTTGGTATTGGGTTCTTTTTGTTGGTTTACCTTGTTTTGGACATCAATTATAACATCCGTTTGTGGTTTGAAGTGGAAACAGCGGACTAAGATCTAACGACACCGACCAGCGTTTTACCCAGTGTATTTACCTGAGATCACCGACCGAACGTTCACGACCCTCCTATACACACCAACCAGCAGTGACAGCGCGCATTGGGACGGTCACAGCGGCTTTACCGGGTCACTGGGCTTTGTCGGCGGCCGCCTGTTCTCTGAGCGGCCTGCGGTGTGTAACAGGATTCACTGAACCCATTGCGAGGCAGGGCTGCTGACTTGCCGTAGTGACAGGCGGGGACCGTAGCGACAGGCGGGGTCGATTTGCCTGCCCCTTGTTCCCGATATTTTATATATTTTTTACTGCGTCGCCTCCGTCCAGTTATTTGTGGTGGCGGTTTCATGGCATGATTTTGGCTAACGCCACGTCAAAAAGTCGGGCACCGATCGTTCGTGGAGGATAGGAGAGGAGGATCACTACTTCTCTCTCTCTCACACTCAGTCAAGCATTAGGCTACTCGGACGGCTTTTATGTGACGGTCCTTTCGGCCCAACACTGGTCGGTCTTCCGCAACTGGTCGGTCTTCCGCAATTTGCCGGGCCCATACAGGCTGCGGCGGCAGACCGCGAGGCGAGGAGACGACCCCATCCGTCCCCTGTGATCGATATACACGGCTGGTGAAGTTCCGTCAACCGAGTTGATCGAGCCGTACAAGTTATCCCCTAGTTGGAACCCGTGTTGTCGCCCAACTAGCGGGCCGGGACTTGGTGTGCTCCTCCGGGAGTAGTCCAAATCTGCCTCTCCACGGCCTCTCTCTCTCTCTCTCTCTCTCTCTCTCTCTCTCTCTCTCTCTCTCTCTCTCTCTCTCTCTCTCTCTCTCTCTCTCTCTCTCTCTCTCTCTCTCTCTCTCTCTCTCTCTCTCTCTCTCTCTCTCTCTCTCTCTCTCTCTCTCTCTCTCTCTCTCTCTCTCTCTCTCTCTCTCTCTCTCTCTCTCTCTCTCTCTCTCTCTCTCTCTCTCTCTCTCTCTCTCTCTCTCTCTCTCTCTCTCTCTCTCTCTCTCTCTCTCTCTCTCTCTCTCTCTCTCTCTCTCTCTTTCTCTCTCTCTCTCTCTCTCTCTCTCTCTCTCTCTCTCTCTCTCTCTCTCTCTCTCTCTCTCTCTCTCTCTCTCTCTCTCTCTCTCACTCGCTCTCTATCTCTCTTCTCTTCTCTCCCTCGCTCTCTTTCTTTTCTCTCTATCTCTCTCCTCTTCTCTTGCTTTCTGTCTTTCTCTTTTCTCATCCGTTTGTGATGTCTGTGCATTCCCTTTCGGACATCATGCTCGCTGCAAACATCTCTTCGATCTGCGGCTGCCCTCTCTTATCCGCCCTTTAGTTTGTATTTGGAACCCTTTGCTGCAAACGAATTCGACCACATAATGTCGCGCTATAATCAACCCAACTGGCATTCAATCTCTGTGCTCTGCTCGCCCCGCCGGATCGCGGCCGCGGCGCCCCGCCCAGTTGCGGTCGTCATGTGCCGCCAGCAATGGCAGCGCTCGGGTACCGGTGAACCTTGTGTCACCCCCGCGTCCCGGTACGGGTCAAGCGATCGGTGCATTAGTTAATTAATATTTGATCGGTGGACCAGTCAGCCGTAGTGGGGCTTACCACGGAAGGGCTTTGAATAAGGTCAACGGTAGAGCTTTACACAGGATTCTCTTTGATTTCAGTTAACCAGCAGCCTGCCGACTACGTCCGGATAATATGATCCATTCATTCAGACATCAGGGGTGCCGATGGCTTTCTTTGCCATCTCTTATCGACGACGCCCCGTTACTGTAATCCGGTTATTCGCCGGGAGGCGGGCAGCAGAGCAGAGCTCCCTGCTGGCTCCGTTCGATCCGCCATCGCGGTCCCCGTGTTTTCATTTCCGCCGCGCGGCCGTATCCCCGGCGTGGCTCTGGGGTGTTTGGAGCGGCACCAGCCGCCTCAGAGGCCGCCTCCGACGCACACAGACGCACCCATTGTTATTCGACCGCCGCTTGGGCCGCCGGGAGTCGAATCGTACCCGGCGGGGTCGGCCGGCGCCGCCCCGTCAGTCCCGGCCGCCTCGGGGCGTGGGGCTACTCGGCAGTCCGTGCGACCGCCGCCCGGGGCCAGAGATGTTACACAACAGGTAGCCACTCTATATATCACCGCCTGAGTCCTTTATCGCGAGGTGTATGTATGCGGTAGCGTTTCCACTGAATGGTTCTCCGAGCTGGCGTGCTAAGTGTGCCGCGGGGTGTGATTCCGTCCCATTTTATCACCCGTGAAATTTTGCATGGCCCCTGGCTGTGGCCGGTCGACTGTGTTAACTTGGTTAGTCGGCAAAGGTCGCCCATTTGGGCGGCCATTTACTGCTGTGGTAACCATCAGGAAGCGCTGTCAACGCCGTCGGTCCGTTTGGACTGCGGTGGCGGCCAGTTAACGCTTCAGTTCAACTCAGCAATCGATCGCTTCTCCGTATCGGGACATATTGAACTGAATTTTAATTGAATCAGCTCCTGTTTTGTGTTAGGTGTAGCAGACCTTGCCGGTTTTGCAATGTCGCTGTTCTTCATTCTTCTCCCCTCCATTTCGGCACGAGCCAGCTGACAGTGTGGCCTGTTCCATTCGCGGCGGCATTGTCTGCCGTCACCCTTCATTAACTCCCGCCTCCCCTGTGACCCGTCTAAAGACACAGCGCCTCCCCCTGGGGCTGTCTAGAGGAGGAGCGGAGCAGTGTGCTGCTGTTGTCATATCGCGTCCCAGCACAGCACAGTGAGGCACAGCCACACACCGATTACCCGTCTAAATGGGCGCAAAATGACCTTAGTAGTCGGCGCGCCCTAAAGCCCCAATTAGCAACAACGATTAGGTACCCGCCTAACACACCGAGTCTTTGCGGTCGGCCAGCCCTTCAAAACCCTCTGACGTGCCGGTTTTCTGAGTAGACAGGCGGCGGTATGCGTGCGTCAGATTACCCGTGAAATGGACGGCCCAAAGTTAGCGACGCCGGAGCGCACCAACTTGCGTTATTAGGTGGCCTCTCGTGGTGATGGGCGCTAGTTTAGTCGCTTGTTGGTTGTGATTCAGGCTGGCACAGCGCGGCCTGTTCGCTGGAGAGCTGAGATGACAGAATCTGGCCAACTTGTGTGCTGCTGATTGCGCCTTGTGCCGAGCCTTGCCGACGCCGACGCGACGCTCTTCTCCCCGTCGCCGTCTCAGCTCTGTATCTGCCCACGGACTGACTGACGCGGAAGTGGGCCGGGCGGTGGGGTTCAGGGGATTCCGTCAAACTTATCCCGGCGATCTGCACTTATCGAGCTCGGAGCGGCTGCTAACTTGGCCAATGTAACCTTTCGCGTATAGTGTTATCTCGTGTACCTCGTCCCCCATCCCGCCTCCAAAGCATGCCGATCATGTGGGCTCTAAGGGCATTGCGCAGAAATATTGCAAGGATATCGCTCCGTTCTAGCAACATTCTCAATTATACCAAGCTCGTAACTCTCTCCTGAGTACGGCATTATTGGATTTAACGTTCTTTACGGCCGATCTCTAAACACCCTGATTCCATTTTAGCTCCCTGCAGTTCTGCGTCTTTGAATGCAATATTAGTATCAATCTGGGCCTTTGTTTGCAAGTTTTATCATTGTGTTTGTCAGGCGTATCCGTCTTTTTCCGCATGTGTTATTCCGCTGAGCGTCCGCCCCGTCAGTTGAGGGATTGTTTTACCGGAATAGGATTCCTCTCTCCCTCTCCCTCTCCCTCTCCCTCTCTCTCTCCCTCTCCCTCCTCCCTTCCCTCTCCTTCTTTATTACTCTCCCTTCTTTTCTCATTGTTTCTCTGCTCCTCTCTCTGTCTTCCCACTCTCTCTCCTCTCTTTTCTCTGTTCCTCCCTCTCTCTCTCTCTCTCTCTCTCTCTCTCTCTCTCTCTCTCTCTCTCTCTCTCTCTCTCTCTCTCTCTCTCTCTCTTCTCTTTTTCTCCTAACACTTTTCTTTCTCTTCCCTTGTATGTTTCACTACACTACCCTCGAACAGCAGACAGATTGTCGCCGTTTCTCAGTTTCAC